TAAAGGGACATAGTGGCAATAAAAGTTACCATCAACTATTACAGCTAAGCACTGACTGGGCCAAACTACAATCTCTGATTGGTTTTCAGCTCTGACGTACCCAACTAACATAATTTACAATCCTCTCGGCAATATTGTTGAAGCTGGGATAATGCAACGGTTAGAATTAGCGAAACATACTAGGAATACCGTCATAACGAAGATACTTGTAAAACATGTATTATATATAAAGAAAACGGTTATGAGAGCGGCGAAAATTGTCATTACATCCGTTTTCTGGCCACATGCCGTATGTATGGCCGCAAAAAAAAACAAGTAGAAATAGTGTCACCAAATGAATCTTCCATCAAAGGAACCGTCCACGAAAAAATCATAATTCTATCCCAACCATAATTTGTTGGCTCGAGACCCATCACTCACGATAATAACAGAAAGAACAAAAATATTATGTTTGTTTTGGTGAACAAATTGGAAACTCGGATCAGCTGCTACGCCTCTGTCACAAATGTTGGCGATGGTAACGATTCCACTTGGTTCTCGGAGTGCATTCATGAAAAACCCTTTTTGGCATTTTCCACCTATGGCCATAACGTTTTTCTTTTCTACAGCTGCTATTCCTTCGATCACTTGGTTTCCATTCTCCAAATTCTTATCTTTAATTTCGATTCCTTTAACACATTGCGGACCGCCCGTTGTACGAGTACCTTCGTATCTTTTTATATTTTTCAAAAATGTATCATCATTAATCTATCAACAATTTTATCAGTGATGACACGTATGGTTTCCCGGCTCTGAAAATGAGTGCAAACAGTTCAGAGCATTGAAAAATGTCAAATAAATCAGATAAAACTATGCTGTTTCGTGTGGCAGCGCACGCGGTAGGCAATGTTTAACCCTTTGACGACCGCCGTTATGAATGCGTCACTTCACTTCTTTCTAAATTTTTTCATCAATAATCATTAACTCTCCAACAATTTCACTATTAGTAATTAGCGCATTATTCCGCGAATTCGATAATGTATTTGTGTAGTTTGAAACATAAAAATGCCAAAATAAACCCCTAAAAACGTGTCGCCACCGAGCGAAAGTGTGGCCCACGGCGGACTCAGCACGGTCGTCCACTCCGGCACCGTTCGCCGCAAAGAATTCTTAGAATTCTTATACGAAGTTATTACGTTTAAGTTATGATCCCCTAGAGCCAACTTGCAAAGCCTCACTGAGACTGATTTCTTCACGAAGAAAAACAAACATACGAAATCACACCTGTATGGAAAATTGGGGATAGGTACGGCGGCAACAAAGGAACGCATGGAACGAAATGCGCCTTGAAGCGACCATGTATCAGGCAGCGCGTTGAAAGAACCGTGTTAAAGCGCTCGAATTTGGAGAACAGAGACAAAACGATCGATAGAATAGGATGAGTGGAAAAGAGAAATGTTACTGCCTCAGGTGGGAAAGGCCAAAAAGGGAAATTAGGTAAGGCGTTCTGAAAAGCAAGCGAATCGTTTCTGTCGCAAACCACTTGTTACTGATGTGAGGCGGAAATTTGAAGGCGTACCAGTCCTTCGGGCTTTCCGAATTCTTAACTGAGACAGCACAACTTTTCTTGTTTTTTTTTCGTTCTTATTGTTGGGGAAAAATGCGATGCCCAACCAACGAGTCAATTGGTGAGCCCTGGAGATCACGACTTTCGTGAACGATTCTTCAAGTACACAGGGTCTCACTACTATACCGTCCATGGTGAATTTTCAGGACATGGTCACAAAGCGTGCCTTTGCGGCACATATACTTGGTATACTAGCTGGTGTGTGCCATCGCGACTGAAAATCGGACGCTGGGCACACATCAGTTACAGCAATCGCTATTATTTTATCACTATTCTTTCGAAAGAGCTACACATTTCAGGTCCATTCTGTAATGATCACATCTATATTCGCTCAATGGTGCGACGAAATGTGACCTGCCGAAAATGCGCAGAACGAGATCCAGACTGTGACGACAAGTGCCAAGGGCAGTGGTGAGTTCAGAGTGGAGCTTCAGCTCAGTCTTCTAATATATTTCTGTCACAAGGCCCCGCCGATCAAGCGCCTGGCATCCCGCGCCGCACTGGCGCAATCTTGCCCCCCTCCCCCCTCTAGCGTCGCGTCGCATCGCGACTGACTCCCTAGCCGTTCAGCAGAAGAGTGTTAGCGTTTAAGAGGGCAGCACCGATAAGAGTCGCACCAATGCGCAAATCAATGGGCAAGGAAGCGTACTCATTCTTGGGTTTCGCCCATTTCTTGGTTTTTTTTATCTTTCCGGGCATCATTAACCATTTCCTAACTGGATTCGCAATGGCTGTCCTAGTATGTCCGCCGTACAGTATAACCTAATCATATCCGTCTGTGAAAATATCAACAGCAGTCCTTTTGTGGAGGATTCGCACTTTCTCTGAGCGAGAATATTTGTGGCAACTACATTCCCTGACGCCAAAATCAATAGACTATCCATCTAAGTTTTCTAGCAGGCGTTTGCTCAACTTTCTACCCATGCGTATGCGCCTGAACATTTGAAAGCCCCACTCTGGGGAGAGTGGCAGAAATTTGACGGAAACTACTGCGAACCATCATGAAAAGGTTCACCAAAAGATTGAGAATATGTATTTTGGCTGAAGACGACCACTTGATATATGAACATCATTACATCGCATAATTGATTCTATGCGCGCTTCTTTTCGAATTGCAAATTTGGCTGGAATTCAATTCTAGTTTTTTTTTCATTAGCGACTAATTGCCAAATCATGCACCCTTGGTTACATTATTATTAATTTTCCTTTACTCAAAAACTTAGCTGATTTTCAGAAAATTGTAAATTGACCGCACCTCCCGTTTCAGCGTTAGCTTTCCATCGTCGGATGCCCCCTTGTTGTCGGAAGTTTTCAGATGTCATTTTCGTTTTGAGCTCAAACACAAGTTCAACTATGGCCAAACAGAAATGGATGCTGGCTGCCTTTTCCCTTCCCTGATTCACAACTTTCATTGCCATGCATTAGGTTTCTTCTCAAAACCAGAAAAGCATTTAAGAATCCCATTCAACGGGTTGTAAAGGTCCAAGCTGTTCATGTAATTGAGACTTATTAACTTATCGAGAAAATACGGTTTCACGAGTAAACCACGAGAAGGATGATCTTTGAACGCCTTATTTAGTTGCAGTGCTAAGTCCCATCTCGTCAGCTTGCAGGGGTTCATAAGTGTTCTTATGCAATGCGTATCCACAGGGTCAAGCGAGGCGTCGAGGAAAATTTGGAAATACGACCCCCCCCCCCACCCTCCGCCGGAGGCCGAAGTCCATGAAACAACCCTCTTCAAAAGCCGAACTATGAAAAGGTTGAAAAGCTTGTTTAATTCTCCCCAAAACTGCTCATAAAAAAGCCCTGCTACCCCACGCCCACAAAAAATTCGTTTAAGAAGTACAAAAGTGAAAAAGTCAAAGAATAATCATTATTGATGAGTCCTACCAAACGAGCAAACGAGAAACAGACCAGAAAACGACAAACTAGCCACTAAAAATGGCATACTATGACAACATCTGTTCTTTATTTATTTCCTCCACAAGACTTACCAAATTCTAGTACTACACAGATTGTGGTTCTCAATTTGCACGTAGCCCTTCAGTTGAAAGAAGCTTTTTAACCGCCTTCGCCAGCTGTGTGTTGACTGGACTTTGGCGTTGACCGTGGAGCAGCTTACTATTGAAATTTAAACAAATATTCAAATGATTATAACTTTCTTCAAATATGACGAATTTTCAATCTGAAAGCAGATTTGGAAGTTTTGTGAAGAGCTTTTTCTAATCAGTATGAAATTACAAAAAGTTATAAGAAATAACAAATTTAGATCAATTAACGAGGAAAATTCGAGATGAGCACGAGTTTTTACACTTTCCGGAGCAATAACTTGCTTCATTTCCGTCAAATTCAAAAGTTGATATGTCATACAAAACTAGAAGATTTTCTCTATCAAACGGTTGCTAAAGCAGCTTATACGTCCAGTATTCAAAAAATGGCCACGTTGAGGATTTTTGCAAAATTAACGAGGAAAATTTGTGATGAGTGCGAGTTTTTTTACTTCCTAAAGCCATAACTCCGTTCAAACTCATCCAATCCGAAAAGTAAATACGCCATCATAAACTAGAAGATTTGCTCTATCAAATGCTTACTAGAACTGCTCCAAACGTCCAGTATTAAAAAAACGGCTACGTTGAGGATTTTCGCACGAGTACCGCCGAAAGGTACTTTTTCGCTACATTGGCACTATTTCAACGGCTGTATATCCTTTTAAGGGCGATTATGTACTAAAGTAAGAGCAGATTTGGAATCACTGCTTTTCTCTTTCTAAGAAAAGTGATTGATTAGCGTTTCTCAACTTTAAAGGTTACATGTTTATAAATTTAACCCTGAAGAGTCCGTTAACGCAATGTTGAATGGTGTACACCTCCCTGTAAATGCGCACGGACACTTTCAGAATTCTCTCGATTGTTCCTGAATTGAGGTTGTTTGTCCAAGGAGCCGTAGTTGAAGCGCGCGCAACAACTAGACCCTTTCTCGGATGCGCCGTGTACCTCACATCCCTTCAGATTCGGGGTCTTACTTGAAAGATGAAATATCTCTTGGAAAGCGTGCGAAATTCAGATTCTTTAACTTGTGTGGTGATAAAACACTGAAGTAACTAAGAATTACCGGACGCCTCAGAATCACGAAAATTTTGTGTGGGTGAAATATCATTTTCATTGGAAATCCTCTGGCCTGGCATCGACTCATCCTTGATATTTGTCTTCCGACGGTGATGATCCCACTGCATCAAAATGGCTCGATCTCTTCCACCCAGCGGGCCAATACGACCCCCCCCCCTGCGACGTGTCGAGGATTCCTCAACGCACGCTTGACCCTGGCTATACTGATTAAAGCTTTATACTGCTGTTGAAATATTTGGATAGCAGAAGTCTGCAGAATTATTTGCTGTTCCACAGGTGTCATGAAGACAGCACAACAGGAGCTGCTGGATGTGGCTTTGGACCACCATCGCTGCCGTTTTTCTATCGCGGGCCAGAACTTCTTTACTACCGTAACAAAGTATGCGTCACCTTGTCACGGTAAGTAATGAAATGAGCGTTGCAAGAATTCACTTTCATTATTTTTGAAATTTAGCGGAGCGGGAAAACCACATAAACATTGTATTTGCAATACAAATATGTGTAACGGATATGTGCGGCCATTGGGACGATATCCAGTAGCGACGATGTCCAGAGATGGCGCGCTGCGATCGAGATCGCTAGCGCTCAGGTCAGTCTCCTTCTTTCCCATTACTTTAGATCTTCACAGAACCTGTGCTTGCATGAGCGGCTCTCATTACTGACTGCTTTCCTCACGAACTACTGCAATTTATAGTATTACCAGATTGGTCCCACAACCGCCGGACCCTCCCTTCCCTGCGAAGCTTGGCGTTCTTTCTTCTCACCTTATCCTCCCCTCCTCCCCCCTCCCCACTGCTCTCCACCTGCCACTGCAGCACCTGTGAAATGACTGAAAGTGTACTAAGTAGGTGTTTATATAGCCTTGGGGTATTATCGCAATCACGTTGCAAAGCGATGCACCCCTCCCTCTTTCCTCCCCTCCCCCTCCTGCCCATCCCCTGCCTTCCCCACCCCTCCTGCCCTCCCCTCCGGCTGCCACGGCAGCACCATGTAGAATGAGACTGAGTGTGCTCGATCGGTGTTTATATAGCCGCTGTGGGTGTTATCATGATCATGACATCAACATCACGAAGTGTTGCCCTTCGTACTCCCTGGTTTTGTGAGCGGTCGGTCCGGACGGACAGAACGACACACGCACACACACACCGACAAACCGACACACCAAAGTTCTGGTTTATATAATGAAGTGATATAAATAAAGGGCGGAAGTGGTGTAGTGGCAAGTGGCACGCTTACCACGCGAGCGGTCCGGGGATCAAATCCTGGGTCGTGAGTCGCCCGGGCCAACCAAGCCTTCCATCCCTCCGGGGTCGGTTAATTGGTACCAGACTTGTCTGGGAGGATAAAAACACTGACTTGTACATCGGCTGGCCCCCGCAAGTCATTGTATAGGCCACATCGCATTCAAACGCCACTACGAATGTACAGGGTGTCCCAAAATTATGGGCACATATACACAGCAATATATTTTAAGCTTGCCAACGTAGAATGTCGATTGAATTATACATAAATTAACTCACATCATGTAATAATATGGAACAGCCCATTACCGAAATGTCCTTCACTGCAACGAATGCAAGCTTGTAGTCGCTTTTTGGGTTTTGCCCACATTGCATGCAGGCACT